TTTTATTTTTTACTTAATGAGCTAATGATAGAAATTTATATGTAAAGGCCTATTTTTATTTAATTAATGAAATGAATAAGATATTTCTATAAAATTTTTTTTAATTTAAAATAATTGCTATTTTTAATAGAAGAATATCTTGAAATGTTATGGCAATTCAATAAGGTGTCAACGCCAATTAAATTTTAACAGGTAAAAATGAATTAATTAATATCTTAAATCTACTGAAATTATTTTAGAAATTTAAATAATAAGAATATCCAATTAACTATTAATATTAATAGATAACTAATAAAAGTTCTAGACTAAATTATGGCGAAATTTTTACAAAATAATTTATTTTTAAAATCTTTTAATAAATTTTCAATAAAATTTTTACAAAAATAATTCGATTATTTAACATTTTATTTAATTAATTCATTAAGAAAAATCATTTTACTTTTAAATTTATTTTTCACTAGAATTTATTCTTCATCTCATTCTTCTAAAATAAAAAAATTTCTTTAAATTGAAAATCCCTCAATCATACTTGGAGGCTTATCATGACAACAGCCAATAATTTTACAAATTGATTTAACCAATTCACACACAACCGCATCTTTTAATGAAGATTTTGAACAATTTTCATAACAATATTTTTCACAATTCAATTTTAATATTTGCGAACAATGATGAGAATTGACAGAAACAATTAAGAAAATAAATAGAAAGGAAAATAAAATTAATTGTTTCATTTTTAAAATTATTATTTCTGAAATTAAAAAAATTTTTTTAGATTTTATTTAATAGCATAACAACTTAAAAATTATGATCAAAGACCTTAAATAAAAAAATTTTTAAATTAATTCATTTTATTACCTAAATAAATTAATTAAGATATATTTATCTAATTTTTTCAGACCTATAGGATTTTTTCTACCTTTTTATAAACTTAGTAATTAGTGTGTAATTGTTTTTAAGAAGATTTTTATTAATATTTTTATTAAGTAATACATAATTTGATGAACAATTTTATATCAGAATAGATTTCATTTTAAATCTAATTATGTAAAACTATTAAAACTTATTTCAAAATTTAAAATTATTAAAATTTATTTTATGAATTAAATTTATCAAGTAAATGTAAAATATTTATATAAAATGTTTTAAGGAACTAGATTAATAATTATAGAAAAAAATTAAGTAAACATTAACAATCTATCAAATATTTCTGAATAACTAAACATAAAATAAATAAAAATAAATATTTAAAAATAAACATTTAAAAATTTCTTAAGAAAAAATAATAATAATTACTAATTTATTACTAATTTAATGGTGTTAAAGAAAAAACAATTAATTTTTCAATCATGAGTAGGGTTACACAAAACCGTTTAACTAAACGGTATAACTAAACTATACGGTATAACTAAACTATACGTTTAACTAAACTATACGGTAAACGGGTTTTTTGGTAAAATTAAAAGGAACGGTATACGAGTCTCAGATAAACGGCATAAACGGTATACGGTCCTTCTAAACGGCGTTTATTTATATTAAATATTAGATCTTCAAATTTTTCAAAGCTGCAGTGATGTCATTAAAATAAGCAAATCGTTCGCCTTTGATTGTAAAATTGTTAATAAATTGTTTATTCAAATTTTTCATTTAACATTTTTGAATTTTTTACATTAAGCAAATATTTAATTTTTATTTTCTATTTATTTGTTATTTATTAATTTTTATTTCCTGAATTATTGATAGAATTCTATTGAATAAACAATTTTTTGATTTAAAAATTAATATTTTTTATCAATATTTAGAGAAAACATGAAGATTCTTAATAAAATATTGCTTAATAAAATAAATATAAAACGATAAATATTTCTTATTATTTGTGAATTTATTTCAAATTATATTTCAATCAGTTCAAAAATATTTTTGAATATCGAATAAAATAAATAACAATCTTAGTTTATAATGAATATTTTAATAATTTTCCCGTTGTTTGTGTTTTTCTGTTTATCGTCTTCATATTATTCTGTAGAAGCAACTGAAGGAGTTTGTATTCGGTCGGGATGGCATCGGTAGGAAACAATGTAATACAAAAAAATGCTTTAATTACAGTATCCCAACGTACAAATGTTGGCAAGATACATTGTCTGCAAAGTTTGTAGTTATCGGAGCCCTTCGTGAAGATGGAGTAATTGATAAAAACGCTGACATAAATATTATTTTTGCTAGGGCAGCGGGATTTGTTGATATAGATATTTACTTTTATCCGTGTGCAAGTTGTATGTCAGTTATTTTTATTAAATTTTTTTTGAAAAAATATTCTAATTAAGTAACGAAATTGAAGACACTCTCAAATATCTGGAAGATTATAATGCAAAGTTTAATAGGGTTTGGTTATGTATTTGGGGAGTTACTGACGCTAAGAACCCTGAAGGATGGTCAAGTGTTCAGGACAAAAATGTGGAAATTATTAAGGTTGTTTATTCTTAAGGAACTGTTTTGTGAAAGTTTTGAAGGTTATTAAAAATTTTAAATCTCAATTTTAAAGAAAATGATCGATACTGTGAAAGGAAAAAATTACGACTATGGCATTTACACTAATAGAGAAAACTGGATTGAAATAACTGGAAATACTAGAGAATTTAGTGATGCCCCACTTTTGTATTATAATTATGACTATAAAAACAATTTTGATGATTTTTATCGTAATCCATTTGGTGGTTGGCAGACTCCTACAATGAAACTTTATACTTATTATAAAAAAGTTTGTGGGGCAGAGGTTTGGTCACTATGGAAACCATAAAAGAATTGACTTACTATCTAACATTTAAAACAAAAAAATCAAATATTCAAAATTACTATTAAAAATATTTCTCTTTATAAAATGTATAAAATTCTTATTCGTGGTTCGGATCGGGGTTCTTGCCAAAGATTCATCGGAATTTTTCGGGTTTTTGACATCTTACGAATAATAATTTTCGTAAGAGTTATTATTCTACTTATTCTAACTTTTGTAAGTAGAACAATAACTTTCGTGCATCTTACGAATAATAATTTTAGTAAGGTAATCGACTATGCTGATACGAATCTGATATCAGATTTTTTTATCATTTACTGAATTTTTATAAAATATTTGATTTTCATAACAAATCAATTGTAGACAGGGTAATAAATTGAAATCTGGTTTAAAATATTATCAAATGCTTCTTTTGTTTTCTTTTCAAATAGGTGTCTCCATTGAAATTTAGACAAGTAGGGTGGTAAAAGTTCAGCTGTTGTTCCACCCATTGCCGTATTCTTTTGTTTTGCATTTTTCCAAAAATTTTCGTTCTTATTGGTGACGTTCCTAGAATTAATGTGTTTTTAATACAAGGTATATCCATCAATTGGATCACGGAAGTTCCTTGTATGGTTTACCCAATGATGTTGATATGGCCCAATTCTTCACGATTACCCAATTGTTACATTTTAAAATTTTGTTGAACTTCGTGCCATTGTTCTTTATTGTAGCCCTTTCCTAAACAGTAAAATAAAAAATATTACCATTTCAATTTTTTAAAAAAAGTAACACTGCCATATTTAAATGCAAAAAAACCACTCAAATAATACCATTGGATATTATAAGTTTTTATTGCTATTTAATTTAAAATTAGATTAGCAAAAATTATTAAAAAGTATAAAATAGTTTAATTCAATATTTATAAAATTAAATTACAAAAATCTCGTTCAATTTCTTTTATTTATCTACTTAAAATAAATATAAAATTTTATCCATTTTTCTTTTCTCACAATTTTTCTTTATTATGTGCAAACAATAATTAATGAGAAGTGATATTTTATTAAATATAATTATTAAAAATTACTAAACTACAATTTTAAACTACGGAAAAAATTTTTTCAATCCATTCTGAACTCATATTTAATAAAATAAAATGTAATATATTTTCTTCATTTTTAGTAAAATTCTCTCAAGTTAATAGAATTTAGCTGGGTTTTTTTAAAGCAACAAAGATTGATTTTTACGTGAGTAATAATTTTTTAGCTAATGTTTGTTTAGTTTTTTCCACTTTTTAATGAATTACTTAATTTATTAATTTTCTCTTTACTCAAAGCTTTATTAAATTTGTATTTATTATTTAAAATATGAATTTTAATAAATTAATTGTAAGAATTCTTTCTTGTGAAATTTGTGGAAAGCCAAGTGAAAGTAAAAATTATAATGTTGTTAGTTGTCCAGGTACATAGCTTTTTGTTTTTATTTTTTATTTGAACTTAAATAGTATAGGATTCCGTTTAACTTAACTGAGTAAAAAGACGCGAATGGGGTTCGGATATCAGAAGATACAGTATAACGAAACACCTTTGAATTTTAGTTATTTTCAGTCCATGAATGTAAGGGATTTTAGAATAAGTTAGGTCAGAGTTCAAACCGAGCAAGGCCTGGACTGGATTTTTTGTTTTGTTATTATAAAAAATGATAACAAAAGAGCTCTAAGTTAGGCTAAAATATATTAAATAGTTGGGAATTATACTAAACTGTAGATATAGGTTTGCCATTTCCAACTATAGGCAGGCAAATAAGGTTATTTCCACTTTGAAAATATTGTTCACGTTTAATATTTGAGAGAAACAATTATGAAGAATCTAAACAATTTAGATAAGTTATAAATTTAATTCTTATTTTTAAGGCTGTAAGCAATTTTTTCGCCGTACAGTTTTGTATCAAAAGGTTGTCAAATGTAAACGAAATAAAAAGTGTGATATAATAAATGGTTGGTGTTCTTATATTAAATAAACTAGAGTAGCACCTCGAGTCTTTGGGTTACCGTATAGACCCCAACTTTGGGAGCCTTTTTCCTTTTTAGCTCCTCAGGCAAAATTTTTCTTCACTAAGAAACTTGCAGCTCAAAATTATATTATAGCTATATTTAACTCGAAATTAATATTTAATTATATTAGGTGAAAGATGTAGAGGTTGCCGTTTTGATAAATGTTTAATTGAAGGAATGGATCCTTTAATGATTAAATTTGATGATAAAAATTGCCGTAATGAGTTTATTGAAAAGTTAGAAAAACGTCGATATAAATTGCAACAAACAAGAGCTTTAGATTTATATCATCAAGAAGATGATCAAAAAATTATTTGTGCTAAAATAGATAAAAATATCAATGAATATAAGCAGTCGACAAGTAATTTAGATATTGGTATGAATAATAAAATATACTTCAATGAAACAGCAATTGGTATAATTTTCTTCTCTCTTTGTCCTCTCGAATCAAAGGGATTTGAGGGATACTGACGATATTAGAGGACCTGATTTTTGCTTTTTATTAAGTGTATTTGAATGATATTGGGGATTAAAGATAGTTTTTACATCTAACAGTGAGATTAGTGGAGTTAAACGATAACAGTGCAAAAATATTGCGTACCCTTGTGTCTATCATTGATCTACCATACTCCTGGGTCTAAAAACATTGCAAGTAAAATAGAAGTTTGTATCGTTAGTTTTCGAACAGTTCAGACTTGGGTTAGACTGTCTTCGGGCAAAATTTTTTTTAAAAATGTTCGTGGTAAATATGAAAATTGAGAATATAAAATATTCTATTAGCAATGATTATGAAAAATTATAAAAAACATTTACTATTAAAATTTAAAAAAATTATAGGTCAACAAAATTATTTTATAACTTCATATTTTAATGAAGAAATCAGTCATGTAAAAATTAAATATAAATTAAAAAAAATTTTTTTTAATTAAAGATGGAATTTTTAATTCAAATCTGTGAAGCACAGAACCGAATTAGAAATGGATATATGGATTTTGATGAACAACAATTTATATCTATGAATTTTAATTCATTACAAGATATTTTGATATTTGGGCCAAATATTATTTCAGAAGCATCAAAATTTTCGGTAATAATATAATTTGTTCTCCTGAATAGTGTGTCCCACCGGCTTTGCAAACAGTAAAACCGAACCATAAATCGACTGAAACCATCTGACAAACATTTACGAAAAAATATATCATATACATATACCGTATTTATTCTAATAGAATGGCCTCTCCAATAGAATGGCTCCTTTTTGGGGGTATCATGTAGAATGGAGTACATGTAGAATGGGGTGTACCATGTAGAAACATATCTTTTTTAAAATTAAAGTAAACATTTACTAATTATAGGAAATGCCGGAGCTTATTAGTTCAAATGAATTTTACGAACTAATTGCACAATTTGGTGGAGAAATAGGTCAAAGTAGTCGTGGCACTAAAATGATTCTTGTAAAGAAACTTCTTTGTATTGGAATTTTTAAATCTTTACCTATTTTTACAAAACTTGATGTCAATGATCAAGTATGTGATTATAATTACTTGTCGAATTCTTTAAAGGATAACTCTTTAGAAACGACTAACCTTCCAATGGAAATTTCAGAGTTTATTAGATAAGATCTTAGTCCCATCTTTTGGTTTCAATTTAATACATAAGTTCTGACTATAAGATAGAATTATATATCTAATAAATTTATTCAATGATGTGTTAGCTGAATTTCATCTTCCTTAAAAAACCATATAATATTTTTCCTATTAATAAAAATTGGGACCCTGCAAGGGTTGGGTCTCCCGAATGTCGAGAGAATTTCGGGAGACGCCCTGGGAGTCCGGTCTCCGAACTTAACTAAGAACGATTAAAACAAATCTATTAACAAAAAAGCCTTTTCTTTTTAGCATTTTTGGGCTTTTTCTTTCCTTTTATAAAGCCGAGGGAAATTTACTCAATAACAGCTGTCAGATCTATAACATATCCCTTACCATTCTGTTATTATAACTCTAATATTTTTAATTTTAAAGATAATTATTTTGAAATATGTGTCACGTGCAGTAGTATATCTTTGCTGTTGTTTTGTTTCATATGAATTGGGTTCTCATACTTTGATAGAGAAAGATGGTTTTTATCCAATGGCTCCATTTTCTGATGAATTTAGTTTTAAAGAGGATAAAACGTAATATCTAAAAAATGAATATAAAAAAGGGATTTGGAAGGATTAGAAGGATATTGTGGATTCCGTAAAATCGGTCCCCGTCCCGTAATATCTGTACATTTTCGCCTACGGCTATTAACTTTTAACTATTTTGGGCGTGTTTGTTTTACAGTATCTACGGTATTATAATTTTATTAAAATAATTTTAAGACTCTTCGCTTTGGCAAATAAAGCATTCAGTAAACCGATGGAACCTTTCCATCGTATTGGAATTTCTAAAGAAGAATTTAGTTTAATTTTGGCAATTATATATTTAAATCCAGGTATTTTAATTGAATATTTAAAAATATTTTCTAAATAATTTTTAAGATATCCCCGGTTTATCAGAATTCGCGAGAAATATCCTTTCAATTGAGTTTTCCTTCTATTCAAAAATGTTACTTAATTATTTACATAATAAATTCGGTATAGATGCTGGAACTAAAAAATATGCTGAATGTTTTCATTTAATTTCAACTTCATTTATTGGAGCACAAAATTTTACTTCATTATATATTTATCAAGAAGCATTATATAAACGTCCACCACAAAGTTCAAAAATACCAAATTCTCTTGAAGCTATTTTTTCAATTTAACAAAAAATATTTATAATTATATTTTGGTTGGGTATGTAATTTATATGCTATGTATGTTTTTAATAAATTCTGGTTTTGTTTGATTCTGTAAATATGTTCTGGGTACGGCAAATTTTCGACCATTCCTCCCCTAAAATAGGCCCCCTTTATAGGTCGATCGAAAACATAAGCTTTCTTCTAAATAAGTTATAAAATAATTTTCTTCAATAAATTTTTGAGAATTATAAGTATTATTCCCCACAGTTTCCTGCATATTTAACAACTAAAGAAAATAGTAGCTATTTAATTCCTAGGCGGAGAGGTGTACTGGATAACACATCAGTTCTGTCTACCGAAGATGCTGTTTCGCTCCCAGCCGCCGGATAACCTTTAGCACTAGCTGAAGGAGTTCAAATAAGCCCAAAATGAAATTTATATTTTGCCTGCAAGGGGTCGAAATTATTTTTTAAAGACGTCTACCCCAGGTTTTCCGTTGAGTTTCGGGTTTTCAGATCTCTATGAAGGAATTATATAGGAACTTCGTTACTTTTGTATTTACTATAGATATCGATAGTTATGTTTACAGGGATTTTTGTAGATTTTTCGGACCACCCCTAAGGTCGAAAATGCAAGTGGCGCTATCTTTTTGTTACACACTAAACTCAAATTTATTGTTCGAAAATTTTTCAAAAAATTCCAACAAACTTTTTCTTTATAATATTGATACATAATATCCTTACCTATATTCTGCCAAAATTTGAAACATATCCGTTTCATATTTGGTAAGATATTGATAAAAAACTAGGTGGCGCTATCATTTTGTTACAGAATGTAGTAAATAAAATTTATCAAAATGCTAAATAAAAGATGTTAGATAATAATAATGTTTAATAAAAATGAAAATAGGGTAACAAAATTATTTAACAAAAAACAAAAAAATACATAAAAAAATTTTTTTGTTAAATAATTTTGTGATTTTAAATAAATAAAATATTCATGCTTTGAAAAAATGAACAGTTTCATGATAAAATATGAACTTGAACCAAATAGCTTCCCGAAATGATTTTAAATGATAGGAAAGATTTGTAAATAAATTTTAAAAATATCTAGGATCTTTTTGACTTGTTTTAAAAATAAAAGTATAGGAAAGACCCGAAAATCTTTTTTAAAATATGCTAGAATTGTTTTTTATTGTTTTAAAAATTAGGGCATTTGTGTAAACCTAAACTATATTCTAAAATTCTTTACTACTTTCCCTCGGTAAAATGTTAAAAATATTTTAAGTCCTAAAAAAGCAAAAAAAAATTCTCAAAATATCCGAAAATCCCAAAAAGCCTATTCAGTTTACGTAAGAGCCAAAATTTCTAAAAAATCTAAAAATTTTGAACTTCTTCTTCACACCATACTTGGACATTTCTATACGCTCTGTCTCGTTCATAATTAAAACCATCACATTCCCCCTCCACAAAACGAACAATTGCATCCATAGCTGGACGATCATCAGGATTAGTTTGTAAACAGCCCTTAATTTAAGTATATAATTTGCTTTCTAATGTAAAGGCCAGATTAATAATAATAATGATATTGAAAATGGTATAATTAGGAACGAGATAAAAAACGAAACTTGCAAAAGAAAATATTTGCATACATAAATTTTAATTATTACTCTTTCTAAATTATTAAGTTTTCACTGAGATCACGTTTTGGTTTTGACTGAATCAAAATTTTTATAAAATATATCTACCTTTATGATACGGTCCAACTTTTCAATTTGCCCTTCATAAATTTGCCCTTCATTTCGGCACTTATTATCTAAGAAGTTATCCCATTCTGTATAATTAAAAGGTGGGTCCGAAAAATCACGCTGAATTTTTTGGGGTATCTTATATCCATGTAATCTCTGACAGATCATTAAGCCAAAAACCCAAACATCAAGTTTGGTTGATATCTAAAATTCTATTAATTAAATAAATTATTTCTTAAATTTTGTTTAATAATTATAAGACACTCCTGTTTTTTGAGGTTTTCAATTTTAAACCGGAATCTGTGTTTTCTGTTTTTTGTGTATTAAAAAGCCATCTATACTAATGCTAGGATTTAAGGCAAAAAGCCTGTTTTTTCCTAAAAGGCCTGATGCTGAAACGTCCAAATCAGGTTTTTTATGAAATCTGCTTTTAAACTATTTTTATCGTTTCCTAAAATTGCCTATTTTAACTTTTTCCGGCAAAATGCCCTATTTCGCCTTTTATCAGCCTATTTTGCATAAGCAGTTTTTTATTGAGGAAAACAATATTTCGGTTACTTTTTGTTAGTAAAAATTTGAGTCCTTAAACTTTTATATATTAATTTTAAATTAATTTAAATATAAATTAATATACATTGTTATTGTTATGATTTATACGAATCTCAGGTGCCAGGTGCATTTGGTTCACTCTAAACGTATTTGCTCTAGTTAAATTCGTTAAAAGAGCAGAATATCCAAAGCCTTTCAATTTCCAAATAATCCCATCTTCATTACTTACGGCAATAAAATTTGTTTCATCAATGTCCAAATGAATGGCATCTTTAATTATTTTAAATTTTAAATACCGTATTTAATAAAATAGAGCCCCAACTTAAAAATAGTGTTTATTAATGTTAGTTAGTTCAATTATTTTCCTTTTACGTAAATGTTTTGATATAATTAAGTCCCGGGCATAATTTTTCGATAGGTCGCTTTGATTGGGTTAAATACAGATAGATTTCTATTAGAGACTTGACTTATTTTTAAACTTTCTCTGGTATCAAAATAAATTTTCTACCGATAGGTAAAATATAAATATTCACAATATTAGTTATTATTTGTAAATCCCAATCCTAAGATTTAAAAACTGAAAAGAAAATTATTGATCACAAAAATTTAGTAGAAATAAAGAAGCTTAAATGTAAATGTGTTTGATATGCTGTTAAGTTTAATGTTAGGAGGAATACAACAATACCGGAATATGATCACCCGCAGAAAGTAATCACTAGCTATTGCTAGTGATATATCTTGAAGTCTAATATAGTTTACAACTAAGAAAATCATTCTTTCGACCACTAGGAAATTCTTTGATTATTAACTAAATATACTAAATGCTATGAAATTTTCAATTATGAAATACTTACGATGATGAAATTGTTCCAGCGCACGAGCAGCGCCTTTTAGAATATTAAAAAGTTCTGCATTAGGATATCTCCGAAGATATTCCTTTAAAGTTTTCCCTCCAAGCTCCATGGCAATATCTAATTTATATTCGTGTCTACGAGTGAGTTCACTTAATATTAATAATTAAATTGTATCTTGTTCAGTTATCCTATTCGGTATATCCTGTTCCGTATATTCTTGAAGACAAATATAGTTTTCACTAGGGAAAATTTAAATACACCATTAATCTCATAAAAGTAAATTCATGTTACGTCCGGAACTTGCCAATGTAGACAAATCCGCAAAGAACTTAATCACACGTACAAATAAAAGGCAGACGAAGGTCTTTCTGAAAGAGAATCAACAAGGAAGGAACAATTGACTGGGTTTTATAAAAACTCATTTAAGGGCTGACACCCATTCTGGACGATTCCAAGCAGTAAATTCAAATAAAAATTAACTCACTAAGCGAACATCTTGATTATACGATTATTTTGGTCATCTGCTAACGAGTTAAAAAACTCTAAAATTTCACCTTCTTGATCTTTAAGGTGAGATTGAGAAATTTTATATGCTATGCATCTTCGCCCTTCTGGCCAATATGCATGATAGACCTTAAAATCAATCATCGTTAATAAAGGATGGTTTCTTAATAAAATGAAGCAAGATAGGACAGTTTAATTTGTTTTTCCATACATATATCAGTTATCTTAGACTTGGAAAACATCAAATAAGACTAAAATATAAAAACATAACCGAATTTTTTGTCAAATACGATTAAAAATTTTCAACTAATACAAAAATCTTGACCCGAAACAGCCCCGATGATGACTTACAACTGCTGTTTTGCCACGCCCGATAATATTCCTTTCAGGTTCATATCTAATTTCAGTATCATTAGTATTAAAACACTTCGTGCTTCTAAATACTTTCCCATGAGGACAAGTTACTGAGCTTTGATGCTGTTCCTCTGAATAAATTTATTTAATTTAGTATTATAATGTTAAAGAATTTTTTAAAACACGCCTTCCGCTTCCGGTGCATTCTCTGAATGTTGACTGTGATAACACCCAGCATTCACTCCTTCAAAATAATTGTTAAATAAATATAATTAATTCACTACCCGACAACAGAAATAATTCCAAAATTAAAAATTGGACTAGTATCCAATGTAAAATATTCATCGAAAGTTTTTTCTTAAAGTATTAATTTAAGGTATAATACTTTAAATTAACAGCTTGAAATATAAAATTATAAGCAAAGTTTAATTAAATAAGAGCAACAACTAATAATTTTAATTCAAAGTTGAATGAATGGGGGCACGATAATATATATTACTTGCTTAAATCCTTTCTCTCTATATATAATTACTCTCGACTTTTACAATCAATCTAGTCATATGAGATTGACTTGCTTGCTTCCCTCGATAAACATGCCCTTGTAAAATTTAAAAATAAAATCCAAATTGCCAAAACCAAATCGAAATTTCGATATAATTTTTATTACTTAACTTGTAAATTAAAAATCAATCATATTAAAATTATTAAATAAAAACTAAAAAATCCAAAGTTTTAAATAATACTAAGTTTGAAATGCAGTGCGTTACATAAACATACGTTTACTCCTATTTTTTATCTAACTCCATTTGGAATAGTCGGATTTATTTCAAATTTTGCGGAAATATAACAAATTTTATTATACTTTGAGGAAAGATTAAACTGACTAACTATGAAATTTAAAAACAATTTTCATATCAAAAAAAACTCTCAGTGTGCTGGGAATCCAGTAAAAAAAGAATTAAGTATTTTCATTAAAAATTAAAAAAGTTAAAATATAAAATTATAAACAAAGTTTA